GGGGGAGAAAAAGAAGGGGGCTATGCAGCTCAGAGCCTGTGGATCCATGGGGGGCCTTGGCACTGGGCACAGGACACAGGCAGGAGCCTGTTACTTTGGAGATGGGGGTGTCTCTCTGGGCTCAAGAATGACCCTGCTCCTGCGCCCCCTTTGAGACGCTGCAGACCCCCCACCCCCATTCCCTTCCTAGAAAATATCCCAGCTGCCCCTTCCCCTCCCCACGCTGGCTGCAGCCAGCTCCCGCCCCACAGCAATCGCTACCTGCACCCAGCCTCTGCTTACCCAGGCACTGCCCGGCCGTCACCACGGAGACGGCCCAGGGAACAGCCTACAGCGCCGAGCGCGCAGTTCGGGTCCCTTGTCTCAGCCCCCACTTTCTCCCTCTGTCACCCGGATCCTGTCCTGTGTCCCCCTCCCCCCAGCAGCCACCAGACAGGGTGGGCCACGCTCAGCTACACCACAGTGGGTGTATGGCCCAGCTGGGAGCCAGGACTCCTGGGTTCTCTCCCCAGCACTGGAGAGGAGGGGGACAGGTGGTGGTTAAGCTCAGGCAAGTCACTTAACACCCCCCCCCCCGCAGCGGAGAAGGGGCGGGGGAGGTGTGTTAGTCAGGCGGGATCCCCCCGCCCCCAGCAGCTGTTTCCAGTCCGCTCCCCCCCCCGGCCCGGCAGCCACTGTGCAGCCAGCTCCCGAGCCGATCCCGGGACCCTCCCCGCGCGGAGTCACTCCGGATCCCCTCCGGGCACCAGAGACCCCTGTAAAGGGGGGGCTACTGCCCCCCGCCCGCGTCCCCAATCCCGGGCACTCACCATGCTCTAGGGGGCTCCGCTCTCGCCTCTCCGGACACTTCCTGGTGCGCGAAGTTTCAGCCCAAACTTCCTGCTTCCTGCAGTGCAGCGCAGCGCAGCCCAGCCCAGCCCAGCCCGGCCGGTCCCCAGGTGCGAGGGGCGGGCCCGGCTCCTGCCGCTGCCTTTAAAGAGACACGGGCCGGGTCCGGCTCCCCCAGGCGGGGGGATCCAGGGGGTTCGGTCCCCCTGCCCCGGCACAGAACCCAGACATTGGGCCCCCAGTGATGGACTCCAAGCTTTGCCTGCCCCCCGTGTCCCAGGCACCCCCAGGTCACAGCCGCCCCCGCCCCCCCGCTAGGTCGTTCACAGACCTGTTCAGGAGATCCAGCCCCCCCCCCCCCTTTTTGGGGCAGCCCCGATCCCAGCAGGTTGGTTCTGTGCACTGGGCTAGCGCTTTAGGGTTAAGGCTGGGGCCTTCCCCCACAGTGGGCTGTGGCGGGTCAGGAGTGAATGGCATCGGCAGAGCTGGGGGCCCAGGAGTAGCAGGGGTGAGGGGCATTGGCAGAGATGAGGGCCCAGGAGTAGCAGGGGGGTGAGGGGCATTGGCAGAGCTGGGTGTCCAGGAGTAGCAGGGGGCTGTGAGTCAGGGGTGAGGGAATCCGCAGAGCTGGGACAGGAGACTCTCCTGGGTGGGGGAAGCTCTGCCCACTCCGTGTCCCATCCCAGCCTGGCTGAGACCAGCTGGTACAAAATGCTCCTAGGGCTCAGGCACGTCTAACGAAGGTGGATCTAGATGGAAACGGCCCTGCCCTGGCACATGGAGCTGATCAGAGCCCAGCGCTGCTCGGAGCAGATGTCCCCAGGGCTGAGGCTGCTGAGTGGAGCTGGTGCGGACCCAGATCCAGACGTCACTGAGTGGGACAGGCTTTGCTCGGCTAGCAATGGTGGTGCCTCGCTGGCAGACTGTAGGCCCGGACACATTGGCAGGGTCTGGGTGCGTGGGTAGGGACTGCTGGGCTGCTGCCCCACTCTGGGGAGAAGCCCATCTATCTCCAGCACTAACACAAGTGCCCATCTCCTGCTTGTACACACCCCCAGGGGGTGTCAGGCCCCTGCCCTGTGTTTGACAGAGAGAGGGATAAACTCTGCCCTCAGGGGATACTGGGCTGAAGAGGAAGCCAGCTGAGGTGGGGGATGGGGCCCAGCAGCTGCTGTCCCCCCTGGGTTTGGAGATGTTGCCAGTGGGGAGGACAGTGGGGGGCCGGGTCCTGCTGCTTGAGGGGCTCTGGAGGATGCTGGTGCATGGATTGTTGGCTTTGCACGGCCTAGTGGCTGCCTGAACCTGGTCTCCCAGCAGCCCCCAAGCCCTGTGTCGCCCACCCTGCCTCTGGCACTGGTGCAGCATGGGGATTCCTGTTACCACCTCAGCTCCTGCTCACGCATCTTCATCGCCTGATGGGTGCAATCCTGACATACCCTGCTGCCTCCCCACCCCAATAGCCCCAGCTCCCTGCAAACAGGAGAGCCAGCAGGGTTCACAGGGACACAGCCCCTCTCACAAGAAGGCCTCTGGTGCCATGCTGCCCTCTCTCTGGGTTAAGGAGGTTGCTCCCCTCCAGCCTCCATCCCCAAATCACCTCCACAACCAGGGCATCTCCTCTTTCTTTTCTGTTACAGTCGTAATCAACTCTCATGCTCCAGGGTCAGGCAGGAATCCCTATCCTGCTATACAGTATCACGCAACAACTACGGGCAGCATGGGCGATTGGGTTTTCCAGCGCTCCTGAAGCAGCTCGTGCTGAAGATAGGTATGGGAGTGGATGGCTTAGGGTTGATCTGCTCTAGCCCTACCTGCTCCCAACACGGAGCACTTTGTTTAAACCTGATGGAAACTGACCTGACGTAACTGAGGGAGGAACGGGACAGACGCAAGCCCAGGAAAAGGCTATTTCAGTGCAGTGTTTCCAGACGGCTGAAGCTGAGCCCCGCTTTGTGGGAAATTAATCCAGCCATGCCCCCCTCCCCGTATCCATCTCCCATGCTGTCCCCCCCGCCAAGCCCTTTGTACTCTGATCCTTCCTCTCCCCTCTGGAATAGTGAAGTGTTGCCATTTAAAGTGACAGCAGTGGACACCGGAGCTAGCCCTCACTGGAACAAATGGGGCTTTCATCCCGCACGCTCGCTGCTATTGCTTTGGGCCCTCGGCAAACTCAAGTAGGTGTTGCACTGGTTACCCCCGGGGCAAATCCTTCATCTCCGAGCGATTGGCTCAGGCTCTTTGCAAACTCAGGCAGTTTTCCTCAGGGTCACCAGGGAAAAGTTTTCTTCATACCGAGAACATGGAGTCTGGATTTTGTTTTGTAGCAAAAGCCGCAGCTGTGGGAAACGTTGGGGAGATCTCTCTGTCCCCGTGCCCCCACCAAGCTGGTCCTTTCTGCCTCCTCCCCCTCAGGTCGGAGCCACAGAGAATGTAACATTACGTATAAATATTTGCCTCTTCCCTTCAAAGTGGACGAGCTTGAAGAACCAGCCAGGCTGCACCTGGCCGAGCTCTGCAGTGGGAGCAAAAGGTGTTGGGGTTTCTACAGGGATGGGGAGCAAAGCAAAGACCAGGCCGTGTCGCCCCCTGCTGGCAGGATGGAAATGCAGATTCAGCAGCAGATGAGAAAGGCAGTTGGGTGGGAGGGAGACGTGTGGTCGGTGGTTCTGCAGGCCGCACCCCCAGCAGTCTCTGTTTACAGCTTCCCAGCCCTGGGTAATTGTCGGTATTAAAAGTCTGTGTTGGTTTACGACTCTGTGTTCAGTGACCCAAAGCAGCAGTGCTGGTACCTGGCCCTTTCCTGCAGGATCCCAATGAGATTTATCAACATGAAGGGCCTCCTGCCCGCCCCCCGCCAAGAGGAGGGGTCAGTCTCATCAACCCCATTCTACAGCAGGGGAAACTGAGGCATTGAGAGGGGAAAGGCCAGAGTCACACAATGAGTCAAGAACAGAACCCAGGAGGGTTTTATTAGGTTTGAGCCCCCAAGCCCCTGCTCTAAGCCCTATATCACACTCCCTTCCCAGAGCCAGGCACAGAACCCCACTCCCAGAGCTGGTAAAACCCAGGAGCCGCCCCGCCAGCTCTAACCAGTAGACCCCACTCCCCTCCCCGGGCTGGTAACAGAACCCAGCACTCCTGCCCCCCAAGGAGTCTTCCCCCAGCCCCCACACTAGCTCCGCCTGGTGCCTGTCACGGAAGCAGGGGGACAATCTGATTAGGGCCCCACTCTTAACGACTGTCTCCTTATCTCAGGAGTTACTCGCGATAAGAGGCCGGCCTGTTACCCAAGCCGGCGTAAGGCCGTTACTGGGCAGGGACCCGAGTCTGCCGGCCGAGGAGCAGCAGCAGCATAAGCGGGTCCCAGCCCCAGCCTCGCACCCCCGGCCCCGGCCTGCCCGTCTCTCCAGCGCCGTTCACCCACCACCCCGCCCAGGCGGCCAGCAGGGCCCGGCCAGCCGCGCAGAGGCCACGTGGAGCGGTCGGTCCCCAGGCCAATTAAAGCCGCCCCGGACTCGGAGCTCAGGGTGGGACCGAGCCTGGGGGGTCCCGGGGGCGCCAGGACCCCGAGCGCGGGGCTGTCTCGAAGCGGGAGAACCCAGGCGTCCGGGACAGGGCCCGCGGGGGGAGGGGCCGCGCAGCGGGAGGAGGCGGAGTAGGATGGGACCCTGGACGCCTGGGTTCCGCCCGACTCAGCGCTGGGAGTGGGGACGGGGACCCCCCGAGCGGCCCCTCGGGGCTGCCGGAAAGCGCCGCCGCCCACCCCGCGCTTGCGACACTCCCCCGCCCACCGCTTTGCGGCCGCCGCGCTGGTGACGTGTCTGCGGCCAAGGGGCTCGCGCTGGAGCGTCTCCTAGCAACCGGGGCGGGGCGCTGGGAGTCGCGCGGAGATGGAGCCGCAGCGGGGCCGCGCGGCAGGTACCGGGGCTCGCAGCCGGACTCCTGGGTTCCCGCCGGGCGCTGCAGCCCCCCCCGCCGCGC